CCTTTCGCATTATAGACCTCAAAAACTTTAGTTTTTTCAATCATCTCACTGAATGAATGTCAGATGCAAAACAAAAAGGACTGTTAATTAACTATGTATTATGCACACCGATAATAGTTTGAATGAAAGCTTATAATTTTAGAAGAAAAAACCAAGAGCAAAAAATAAAAGAAAATAAACTTGTATATACTACAAACAATTCCAAAACGTGTTTTAGAGAGAAGATAATTTATATGCATACAGCAAACAATTCTCAAATTATATTACATATGAATTGCCCCAAGAAAAAGAAAATCTTGCACTGCAGGTATAAGACTAAAAGTGTTTTGATAAATTAATATGAATGAGATTAATATCAAATCCGACTCACGCTGCTAGAATATTACGCGACAGTTTCGGTGCCGACCAGCCCAAAATCGGTACTTCATTTAATTCAATATGTGAATCATAAAGACCCTGAAATGAAAATAAAGCAAATATCGTGTAATAAAGTTGTTATATCTTGTGATTTTGCAAACACTAATAACCTCATTGAACAAGTCACCAATCCATTTGGCAATCATCAGAACCAGCATTATAGGTAAACCAAAAGTGATACCCCGAGTTGCTTCAACAAGAATTGCAGTTAAGCTAATAGTCATTCGCACAACACCCCCAAGCTGTGCTGCAGCACCAGCAAGTGCATACTTTCCTGGATGCATACCTGTCTGTTAAAAGAAATATTTGAATTATTTCTATGATAAGTAATTTCATTTCGAAATTCCTAAGGGAATTAAAATAAAAACACTTTCTCTGCAAAAGTAATAACTCACCACATCTGGAAACATATACTCCACGATTACTCCGACAAAACGACCCCATGCTGCACCAGTCAATAAAGTTGGTATAAAAATGCCACTTGAAACAGATAGTCCATATGTCCATAATGAAAGTAAGTAATACTCAGCAGCAAATATCAACAACGTGCCAGCCGCGTAAGAATCTAAGAAAAACAACAGCAGTAAGATTTTTCCTCCTACAAGCTAAAACTGCAATCATCATTGATGTACAAATACTTTATGATCACTTACTGACCTCAAAGTCAACAATTTTTGATATTAATAAAACATATGAATTTTGTGAAGTGAACTTACTTGGGGGACTATGAAATAAACTTTTAACACTTTCTTCAGGACTTTGAAAGAACAAGTTTGCTACAGCACTGTATTGGCCTTTGCGACAC